GTAGTCATTTCTTGGAAGTAAGGTAGAATGATTTTTGGGAGATTAATTTATTTCTGTACCAGTAAGATCTACAAAATGCATCTTTTAATATTGCCATACTGTTGTATTACAATATAATTATGTATGATCTATAAAGTTACTTAATAGTTTGATTTCAAAGGTTAGTTGAAACCAATTTAATTCCAAAGATTATGGCACTGGTTTTCATATTCATGATTTATATTACATCACAAATACAATCTGATTTTCACATTAGTTAGTAGTTTATTACTTAAGATTTTAATCCTTTATTTAAGGAAAACTATAAGTTTCGCAGGGCAATTTGACACGCTTTAAACAGTGGTGATAGCTGACGACAACTGTTAGGCAAGAAACTAAGTCATAACAGGCTTTTAATGAGCAATCATTTGACTTGGTACACTTTTGAAATCTTTTATTTTATTGTAAAATAATCTTTACTGTCCGATATGCAAATAATATTCACCTGATAGATACTCATCACTTTAATCAAAGCAAGTGAAAATTTCATATTAAATACTGAATACAAGAAAGAAGAATTTATCGGTATAGGGGTTGTTGAGATTTTTTTTCGTGAATTAGTTGAAGTTAAAGATTAACACCATTGGATGCCGGCTCAGTGATCCAGTAGGTTAGGCGTTCGCGCGCGACAATGAAGGTCCTGGGTTCGAACCCCGTAGGCAGGATCGTGGATGCGCACTGCTGAGGAGTCCCAAAATGGGACGAAACGGTCGTCCAGTGTTTCCAGGTTTGCAATGGTGGTCTAACATCAATCGGTTCATGATCTCAATAAAAAGAAGAAGGATTTAACTAATTAATAGTACTACTTACTTGATATAGTTCACATTTGTTTCCCATTTTTAGATAGTACTTATAGGTTTGTGAAAGTAACTTGGATTAGGTCATAAAATAGACAAGAATTAGTTAATAATTCTGGGGTAATTTATCCCTATTTTGACCTATTCCATATAGTATATCTGCGAAATTCTCTAGGTGTTTTGTTTCTAAATTTATCTGGACATAAAAATAGTGTTTATTCAAAGGTGTATATCACCAACGTCGATCACTGAACGATATTCCGTAACTATCTTGTGTTGACTGTAGTGAACATCTGTTTTACGCTCAACATGTTTGAACTTCATTAGTAACGGCTTCTCATTGAAGCTAGTCACTAGTGAGAATATGATTATTAATTGTATTAGAGATTTATAAAGCCTGCAGAATTCTCCTTTAGTAAGAATCATGAAACGATACGAAGATTGGATGCAAGTCCACTAGTCTGGAGGCTAAGTGTTAGCCAACAGATAGAAGATCTTCAATTCTATCACCTATGGCAGGGTCATGGATGTGCTGTTCTATAAGAGACCCATACTAGGACTAAACGGTTGTCCAATACTTCCTAGTTCTTAATAGTAGTCCAGCCAATATCAATTCGAGACGTAAGTTGTGAAAACTCAACAATTACTACACATAAACAATACCTAATTTTAAGAAAAAATAAAATTGAAAATCAACTAGATAACAGTTCAGAAACACTAAGAATTGAAATAGTTTAAAGTCATCAAGTGAATTTTCACAGTGTCATACATTATTAGATTTCCAAGCGAACTTTCTTCAAAACTAGGGCTGGTAGTTTGATATGAATTCAATACAAAGTATGTAGGAGATGTTCAATAGAAAATTACATTCATGAATATTTCCAACATCTTTCTTAAGGGTTCATCAATTGTAACTTGAGAAATTTCATCATGAAAATTCTGTGATTCAACTTAGCGGAGATGAATGATTAAGATTGGAGAAAAAACATTATTAACTTCTTAGTTAAATTCATGAGTCGATTAAAGATAAATTACCATGGAACACCTGAAAGCACTGAACGGTTGTTTCGCGATCCCGCCTCGCGGTCTGGAATCCAGGACCTATCAGTCTCGCGCGCGAACGTCTAACCTCTAGACCACTGAGCTGGCATCCAACGGTGTTAATGTCTAACTCCAACTAATCCACGAAGTTGTCCCACCGTCCACCATTTCTTCAGTGAGTTACTATCTCACAACAGACTAGGCTGAACTCCATTGGTCATTGGTTCTCACTAGCACTCAAATAACTACCTCTTGCAGACTTTATTACTCATTTATAAATCGAATTGTGTAAAATCAAATTTCTTTAACATTTAAAAAAAGGATCTGTAATAGACAATAGGTTGCCTTGACAAGACTGTATATATTTACAACAATGCTTCTGAAATATACTAACGGAATAGAAAATGGAAACAGAAAAACAACATTATGTAGCGTCTGTTTTTTCCCTCCAAATGTTAGGAACAAATAATTCTTGTTTTATTAAAGTGCCAGACATTTTTCTTGTCATACTCTATACCATTGGCTGATCTTGTTTAGACAATCACTGAAAGCAAAGAAGCAATAAATAGCTGGGTTTTTTTCTAGCCTAAGATTTCTCCGAAATGTAAATCCAAAACTTTATCACGAGAAGTCAGACCTAGAATCTTGAGGTTTCTTGATGAACTCTCGATTTCTAGACTAATGAACTGGGATCTGGCAATGTGCATGTTTAGCTTTGATGCACTCATAATATTACCAGATTATCTTGCATTGCCTGTGGAGGGTAACAATCTTACACCCGATGTAGTTGAATTCCGCTTGTAATGGCTTGTCACTAGGACTCCGGGGATCGGATCTAGAAGTTGGTCACTAGACTGTACATGTAGGTTTGTGGAGATTCTTGAATGTTCATTGTTTACATCACATTCATGGGTTCGATGCCCTGTGGGAAGACAGTAGTGAGGATTCATATACTGGAACGAAACGGCTATTTAATGCTTCCTAGTTTTCAATGATTGACTAACTAAGATTAGTCTGCTGTGTAAACCATGAACATTCAAAAACGTCTGCAAACCGTCTTTACTAATCTCTTGCTTTATTACTGTTAAAAGTTTTCGTCATTATTTGTTTTTATTCAGTTCACTATGATTAAATGTTATATAACACGAAAGCGAAGCAATGAACCATAATGAAATAAAATTCATATAAAGTGTCCAAAGAGTAGAGAAAATTCTTTCAGGATGAAATCTTCTATGATTCTTTTGTAATAGCTTAATATCATCTAAACAAAACTCTTCAGAAATGTCAGAGTTTCTTAAAAAAACATATACACATATTCAGGGTATAAATTATTGAGTGGAATTAGGTGATATATTCTTTCTAGTGCTTATATCAATTATTATAACTCTTGAACCAAATTTCTATCATTGATAATCGACTAGATATAAAGTTTAGAAAGTGTGTCCTAGAAACAAAACTTTTCAGATGAAACTGTTCAACAAAGTTAAATGGTATGCTGATGAAGTGAATGGTTAAATTTGACATTTTATAGGATACCACAGAATATAAACTCATATAGAATTATAAGTGTTTATTCCAATAAAAAGATATTTAAAACTGATACTAGCAATTTCTTCTTGAAATCATATCAGGATTCTAACCAGAACTCTTTCATCTATTAACTTTAATTCTGTACTAGTTAGTATAAACCGATATTATTAAACCATCTGTATGGCTATCAACTTGTTAACTAATCTAAGTTTTTAACGTGTTATTCTATTTTATTTTTTTCATATTTCCATATACTATCAGTAAAAGTTTTTGATTTTAACTTATGCAACATTCACTTAGTTACTAGTCTGATTTTGTTTATTTAATCATGCTCAACAATTAGATTTATCATAGTAACGACAAACAGAGCTTTATTGGTCAAAGACAAAAGTCAAGTAGTTCAGATTCTAATATACTGGAAAATTCGACAAAAGAAACTTCTCGGCATAAAACTGTACCATTAATACCAAGTTATTTGTTTATTACGATGTAGCCTTTGAAATATTGTTCGTGTATGTTAGGAGCATCAAGTGAACAATACCAAGGTTATATTAAGAAGTACTGGATAAGAGTGGTAAATCGATTGACGAGGTTGTAAATGACTGGTCAAGTTGGAATAATAGCTTGTATAATGGTAGATTGCAAGAAAGCTAAAGGCTGCCAGATCAATATATGATATCAATCCATAAATTATTGACTGTTGGACTATGTCATCAAGTTAGGTGAACACTACTTTGTCATAGTCTGCGTGATTGTCGTAATCAGGGGTTAAGAACTGTAGGTAATATGTCTCAGCATCATTCGTAATGAAACAGTTGAATTAGCTGTTTAGTTTCTACTAGGTATTAAGATTTTGAATTATCTCAAAAGTTTTCGCTTTTATTTTAGGAATTTATATTTTCTTCTCTAATCATATTTTCTATACTTTATCTTCCCACTACCACTAGTACTGTTACTACATATGCTATGGTATATCTCTATGATGATGTAGTGTGACAACTTGAATCGATACATGTTTGAGCTATGTTCTACTAACTGATAACTAAGTTAGTCACATATTCACTAATGTAATTTAAGAGCATTCTAACTTGTAAGTACTTGTAAGTAATATAGAATCACTGAAGACAACAATGAATGGTGGTGCAATTTCATGAATTGATTAAAGTTAGACAATAACACCGTCGGCTCAATGATCCAGAGGTTAAATGTTCAAGCGCGAGACTGATTAGTCCTATGTTCGAATCCCCCCGAGGCGGGATCGTAGATACATACTACTGAAGAGTCTCATACTAGAACGAAACAACCATCCAATGTTTTCATGAATTCAACTATTAAATTTTTTAACTCTAATATAACAATGAAACTATATGATAATTCTAAAGATTTAAGAAAAGAAAAAACAAACAACCAAACTAATCATTATCTAATAAATAGACTATTTCACTACAACATACATTTAGTCAATAGAAAATGGTATACAAATTAAATAATTTCAAAGATGTGGAATGTAACACTCTATAAATAAATTTAATAATGCCATAGTAGTTATTTTGTAACATTAAAGTGAAATTTGTTTACTCTGTTCTCTACAAGTTACAATAATAATAATAATAATAATAATAATAATAATGGTAATAATAATAATAATAATGTAATGGTATATCTAGTACACTTTACACATACAAATATCTGAAATATCATTTCATACTGAAACAAAAATAAAAAAAATTTTTTGGTTTTTATTTTGGTCATTAATAAAAGAGAAGTAAGTTTACACTAACAACAACAACGACAACAACAACAACAACAAAAAATACAGTGTAGTACATTTAAATTAAAAATTACCTTTGTTTATAATGTTCATAATTAATTAGATGTTCGTTAATAACCAAGAAGTATTGAATGGTTATTTTATTTCAGTATAAGACGCTTAAGAAGTGAACATATAAGATCCAATTACAAGAGATAAAAATTTATAACTTCCAAGTTAGACATGTGAACGGATAAACTTGTAGATTATTAAGATGGACCACAATGGTATGACATGTCTAACTTTATTCAATTCATGATATCAGTCAATCATCATACATTTCCTGTGATAGATAACAGTCTCATAGCTGATATGGATGAACTTCATCAGTCACAGCTTTTAATTCGAACTCTCGAAGTAGTATCTCCAAGTTAATTACTAAATAGCATATGATATTTATTAGTATTGATGTTCTAGGGGGGGGAGGAGTTTTGTACTCTCATAGTTTTACATCACAGACTGTTTGTTAATGTTGACTTGAAGTAATTAAAGAACTAATCAACTTTTTATGTAGTACAATCTCAAGGAGTTTCCTATTTATGTAAAATACTTCCTTAATGAAACTATTCATATTATATCTATTTATATTTCTCCAATAGATCATTTCAATACGGAAACGAGTAAAACAAAATTCAAGTCTAATGTAGTTATGAATCACCTAAACTATATAATAAGATGGAGTTTGATTGAAATCGTTAACCGAACTAAGTTAGACCAATACTGTAAACCTTTAAGCACTAAATGGCTGTTCCGTCCTAATATGCTACTCAGATGTGCACATCCACGACTGTGAGACCGGGATTCGAACCTAGGACCTTTGGTTTCTTGTTCAAACTCTATCAATTAAAATGATGTGAAAGATAAGTTTGTGTTTAGAATATGAACAGGCTTATCTGGTCATCATATTGTACAGTTTATAGTTGGAGACATAAACGTTAAACAAGTAAAATATTAAAATGAATGTTGCTTTAGAACAGGTCGAAAAGTTCCATGGGAATAATTCCGTTTCTCCTATGAAGCAAGTCTTAATAAAGATTCTTTTTGATAGAAAAAGTAAACACGCAATAGTTTATTTAAAATACAGAGTCGAAAACAAACTAAAGCGAGTAAAAGGTAGGATATTTTGTAAGTGTATTTTCACGGAAGCTGTATGAATTCGGTGAATCTAAGTTCTATTAAAAAGCTTTAGAAAAGTCATATCCCCTGATGAATCTTGTGTTAGCACAATTAGAGAAATTCATATTAAAATGAAATAGATGTCCAGATAACTTTTGTTTTCAATGGTTGTTTAGTTAGAAATCAGTCTATCATCAAAACTATCTCCAGATTGAACAACGCTTAAGGACATTCTACTCAAATATTAGTCATTCACTAATTGATAACTAACTAGTAAAAGTTCAAATGGCTTTGTTGAATTGGCAAAATCAACATAGTTAATTCATTTCCAGGTGAGATTATGGGAACCAACATCAAGATCAATAGTGTTGACTATACAATTCCACTCCCGTAATAATCACCATTTAGCTTTAGTAAATATATATTGCTATAAACCTATGATGTTCAGTGGTAGATAATTTTATTTTTAATTTTACCCTCATCGACGTTTTTTAAGTTAGGTCAAGTCATTTGTGAAGTAAATTGTAACAACAATTATAACTTCTTTTTATTCACTGTGCCACTATGAAACTTCGCGGTAAGATTGTTAGATTTTGTGATAACTTATCGGAAGATTAGACAATTAAAGTAACAAGTCAGTGAATAGCGGAAATTTGTATCAAATACTATAGTAGGCAACCTCCCCTCGAACAAAACGCATAACATCATTATTACATGAATATTATTAACAGCTAAATGCTATGTTGTTAATATCATGAACTGGTAGTGGTTAAAAATCAACTGAAAACCAGGAAACATCAGAAAGCTATCTCATCCTCATATAGCACTATTCAGAAGTCCTCATCTATGACCTTACTACAAGAAATAAAAACCAAACCCTGTGTTTCCGCGCATAAACGCTTAATCCCTAGATCAATGATCCAGAATTCAATGACTAACACATTAAACCAAGTCGAGTGTGACTCCACTGCCCATCAAGTACAGTGGAAGATTGTTGCACAATATTACGAAACGATTGAAGTTAAACATGTTCATTGTTGAATGTATTCTCAGTAATCTAGAAGTTAAGCATTCACTGCGAAACTGAAAGTTCTGGATTCAATCCTTAGTGGGGGAAATCATGGTTACGTACTCTCGAGGGGTCTCGTACTAAAATGTAACAGCTACCTAATGCTTGACAGTTCTGTATAGTTGCTTAATTAATACAAGTCCATGATTTTAACAAAGAAATTGTAACAATTATCCTCATTAATTCCTGTAGTGATCTAAGCAAGACAATTTAAAGTCAACCGAAGAAACCAAAAATAAAATAGGTGAAATTATGAAGTATACATTTTTATAGGGATAAGTTTTTCAGTTGTTTTTTTTTCACATTAAGACATAGATTATCAGTGTAACTATTCCTCCTATGATGTGTACAAGTATATATATCATAAAAAGTTATTTTGCGGATTCAGAATCATGGATACACGTTTGAAAATAGTTACATAGGCAGATAGATAGATAGATAGATAGATAGATAGATAGAGAGACAAAGATGGAATAATTTCGGGTCTATGAATATAACACTATAACACCTATAGAAAAGTATATTTAAGAATACACTAACTACTACACACAATAATCATATCATTCAAACTTTAATGTAAATAAATCCATACACATATAAGAAAGTAGAAAAAAAATATTGGTGAATAATGAAAATTTTACACCAACCAACCAACAACAAAAAAAAGAAAAAAAGTAGAATGAAAATGTTAAAACGAAAGAGAGAGAGAAAGAGAGAGAAGAAAAGTAGCACAATAAAGACTATAAACGTTTTCAAAGTTGAAATAGAATAAAAATGAACATTCTCTCTCTCTCTCCCTTTGATCCCCCTACTTTTTCACAGATCATAAAGTTAATTTTACTGTTTTAAATTGGGAAATTTTCAATATGATCAAAAACAAAACAAAAAATCTCCCCATTATTTTCTAGCTAACTATCGATGTATATACATACACACTTATGTATATGTTTGTATGTATGTATATATGTATATGTGTGTGTGTATGCATTCCTCTACTTATTTACTGTTCAATAAATATCAGCTTTATTCAGTCTGTGGTTACCTTTATTTCTTCTTTGAAATAATCATTCAATAAATTCTAACTTTGAAATATAATAACCATTGCTGTGATTACGTAATACATATAATAATAAATTATACAAATGAAGGGAAAAAACAATCCCACTAGACTATTATTTGATCTCATTTTATGAATGAATATAAGAAATAGTTTTTATAATATTACCATAATGTGTATAAATAAATTTTTGAAATAGATCTTATGTTCAATATCAGATGGGTTTTGTGGATATTATAGTAATTTCAATGGTTAAGATCATGAGTCAGTTGAAGCTAGACAACCATGGAAAACCTGGAAGTATTGGATGGCCGTTTCGTCCTATTGTGGGACACTTCAGCAGTTCGCGTCCACGATTCCGCTTTGTGAGATTCGAACCCAGGACATATCGGTCTAGTGCGTGAACACTAAACCAGGTCTGTTGTGCGATAGTAACACACTGAAGGCAATAATGAATGTGTTGCTCAATCTCGTGGATTAGTTGAAGTTAGACATTAACACCAATGGATGCCGTCTCAGTGGTCTAGTGGTTAAGCGCTCGCACGCGAGACTGATATGCCATATGTTCGAATCTCGCAAGTGGCGGGATCGTGTACGCGCACTGCTGAGGAGCCCCACAATGGGACGATACGGCCGTCCAGTGCTTCCAGGTTTCCCATGGTGGTCTAGTTTTAATTGACCTATTATCTCAACTATTAAAATTACTATAATATCCCCTTCTGACATTTGTTTTTTGTTTTTCTTTTTTGATACCATTTCTTAAATCCATAGTTTATTAATCAAATTGAGCTTGTTTTTAATAGGAAAATATATAGAATTTTCTGGGCTTTTTTTTCACAATTTTATTGTTTAGTGTACGAATTTCTATTCAAAATTATGGGATCCAATTAAGAATGAAATAGAATTTTCAATGAATGTTGATCCGTCTATTTCAATTACAAATAATTCAATGAATTCAATTGAAAATAATCATACTACTGAAAGTAATGATTATGAATTTTCTACTGTACAATGTAAAAATTTATCCTATGAATTTACAAGCTCAAATATTCCTAATTTATGTAATGTGACGGAAAAACTTTGGTCATTGTCATCATCATCGTCATCATCATCATCAACAACATCAACATCATCAACATCAACATCATCATCGATATCAGAACCATCAGCTGTAGAATCGTCGTCATTATCATCATCATCATCATCATTAATACTATCAGATAGATTAGAAGATAAACGAACAGTATTCTCACAATCACTTGAATTAATTAATTTACATTGTACTTCATGTCATGAATGTATACATGATAAATTATTCTTATGTATGGATAATAAATATTGGCATTTGAATTGTTTAAGATGTTATAAATGTGGTATTACATTACAATGGGAGAAAACATGTTTTGTTAAAAATGATATGGTTTTCTGTCGTGAACATTATAAAAGGTAAGTGAAAATAGAAGTTTTGAATTAAAATAAACTATTATAATTAAAATGATTGATGGATATTAAGAAATAGTGAATAACTACTTCATCTATTGATTGTGATTGCTCAAAGATTTCTAAGAGGGTACATTCAGTTTAAATAGATGTCAGTGATTGCATTATTGATTATGATAATGAATGATGAGCATAAAACTCATATGGAATGTTAAATTTCTCAAGACTGAATATACATTTTTGATAATTAGTACTTGTTTGTACTAAGTACCATTTGTTTACAATCATCTAGTATTGTAAATGTATTATCTTTTTAATTTTTAGCCGAACACACTTCGATAATTATTGTTTAAAAAGAATACTAACATGATAATTGAAATGAGTTTAGGTAATGATATTAGCTTAACAGTGACATCATATATGAAGCTAACAGAAAAGTGAACGAAAGTTTTGACTAATAAGATTTGTATTCATGTTTGATTTAGTGTTGAGAGAATGTAAATTTATTATTTTGTGTTCGAATTTATTACCACTGTCAATGGAGAAGTTCTCGAACAAACTCTTCAGTTTATACTGTCTAACAATAGTTTCCATTTATTATTGATAATAGTCGGTGTTAGTTTTAAAATTCTTCATGAACTCACCTATGTATACTGTATGGTGAGTAACATCTTTCCTTCAAATATTTTTTTCATTAAAATGAACTTCACTACCGAAGTCTCAACAAATTTCAATAAGTATGAAACCTTAATGTTGAGCTTATTACTATCTTCATTCACTTTTTAGTATCAAGCTCCTAGATAACTAAGCCTTTAAGTGCGTGCGAAAACATATTATTACAGTTTTCCACATCTACTACTAACACTCCAAGTGATGGAACATTGTCTAAATATTTTTAAGTTACAACTTACTTTATGGTTGTTCAGAAATCTATATTTTCCTGAACCATCAGTATATCATCAAGCATTCAGTTTTACATAAGTAATCAAAACTAATCTGTTATAACCTTACAACAAAGTGGTCAGTTTTAAGGTGAAACTTCACTGTATTTTCAAACGTAACTATTTATTAACATTACTTACGCCTGTTATGCCCAATGGAGCATAGGCTGCCGACCAGCATTCTCAAACCCTCTCTGTCCTGGGCCTTCCTCTTTATTTTTATCCAATTATTGTTCATTCTTTTCATGTCTGTCTCCATTTCTCTGCTTGGCGCCCCTCTGAGGCTACTGCCGGTCCAAAGTTCTGATAAAGGAGGAGGGTTTGTCATGAGGTTAGCGACCCCATCCCGTAGTAAACTACCTCGCTAAAAAAACGCTAACCAGAAAAAATAACTAAAACTATTTATTAACATTAGGTATTGTTCATATTATTAGATTACATATATTGTTGTTTTTAATAGAATCCAACCACCAAGATATTTATGTGGATTGTCGCGTAATAGTAGCATAGATTTTCAATAATGCTTTGTTTTCTAAGGTGGATGGATTTATCACGAAGCTTTAATTGTTATTTTCAGACAACAGTAAAAACTCCCCAACTCATGTGAAAGCGAACTTTTTGATCTATTAAATAATAATGAAGGCTTTATCCAGTCAACAGAATGCACTATTGGTAAAAGAATCCATCCAAGCTATAAAAAAAATCTTATTCATCGTTCCAAATTTATTGATTTCTGACTCTCGTCAATAGAGTAAACACTCATTATTACCTTGGTTTCAATGCTTTTAATGATACAATAGTTGCATCTAGCTGACGAGTATCAGATGGGACGAAACGCGCGTTCCAGATTCCACTGCTATTCATATTCCACCTATTCTATATGAATGATTATTACTATTTCCACCTAACCGATTGGAGATTAGCTTTTCTAATTTATAAAATCTATACTAATCATAGATATAAAAAATTATTTCGAATTATTCTTGACAATACTTATCTACTTATAATAACTCGTAAAAAAAGTGAATGAATTTCAGGCACCATACTGTTGATAACTTGAATCAATCGAATAAACGAACATATGAATAAACATGGATGATAAATTGAACATTTTTAAAATAAAAACTAAGTTGGTTGACATTTCATTGAATCTATCAATAGTTAAAAACTATGACGTTTCCATCTAACCTAATCTCTAATCTTTCCCTATAGTCTCTGTGTTTTCATCATCATTTCCTGTGGCTAATTTCTACGTTTATTTGAATGACAAGATTAGTGAGAATATGATGTATGCAAATGACAATTGTGTTTATTCCTGATAATTTCCTTCTTGGTTTCATTTCTTATTGTGCTATTATGTCTGTTACTAACTAATATTCCTTTATTCCATAAGACATCTGTGTGTACACAATATCTAACATGAAAATTTAATATGACAAAAAAGAGGGCAAACAACATAGACAACAATTAACCATTTAACTTCATTTAATTTTAAATCAAATATAAACTAAGTAACTAGGTGAAATTTCGATTGTTCACTTTTAATTCTCTAATAGATTTAACTTATTTGTTTCCCCTCTCCGATATTTGTCTGTTTTAAACAGACCTAAACGATTCATAAAATTTGACATGTATTTCTTCTTCTTTTTTTTGATGAAAAGAAGCAAATAACATATTCAAATGTTAATGATAGAGATGGCTAGTAGGAACTGCGTATATATATAATCTTTATTGCTGTTATTGGAACACTAGTATGGTGCACTTGTTTGTGCTGAGAAATAATCTATGATCAAGTTAAACTAATGAAGATTGCACCATAGTCAATGAATCATTATTAGTTCTGTTTTAAATGCATATTGTGGTCTATTGTATGTATATATGTATGTATAATAGTAACCAAATGCATTTATTAATGTCTATAAAGTTTTATGTGATTTTCACACTGAAGAAAAAAAATAATAACACGACATTACGATTGTGTATTCTTTACCCATAAGTTACACACAATATGTGTGCAAAAACAAACATGTACACACACACCCATACATTTGTACATGTTTACGGTACATATGTGTGTGTGTGTGTGCGAGAGGGAGAGACATTTGACAGTTAAAATAGTAATGAACATGAATATAAGAATTTTATTAGGATTTTTAAATGCATCATGTCAACATAAATACAACTAGACATTGAAATAAATGAAAGGAAGATATAAGGAAAATTTAAAGAAACCATAGAAGGAAAGCATATAAACTGACTGATCATTATTAAAGGATAAAATGTAATATACATTAGAGATTATTTAAGATTATAGTAATATCGGGTATATATATATATATATATATATATGTAGTTGAGGTAATTATAAACCATGTGAATCTATCTGTCTATATGTGTATATGGATAGAGAGAAAGTTTCGCAAATCAAGTCATTCGGGTTTTTTATTTTTTATTTTTTTTTACTCTACAAGTAAATAATCGACCAAAAAAAGCACAGCAATATCTTGACCAAAAATCTTTTGAATTTTCAAGCAAAAAAAACATATTTTTTTTCTGACCAAAATAAGAAAAAAACGACATGAGTGTAGTTAACAGGGAATAGAAGGGAAATAATAATCGTTATCATCATAAAAGACATGGATACTACCAATAACTGTAAATGTAATGAAATTAAATTAAATATAAAATAATAATAATAATAAATTACTCATGTAAAATCTCTGAAAGTAATAGAATTCTGATTATCAATACAATAAATCAGTGATTTAAACGAACAAATACGCAAGTACGTGTATACACATACACATACACACACACATATATATATACATTCAGGCAGGTAGGCAGGTAGGCAGGCAAGTAGGCAAGTTCATATGAAGGACCTAAAAATATATATCTTAAAATTTCATAAAGAGATATGTATAAAACGAAAAAAAAAACGTTGTTTCATTTCACTTGTATTCTATGAAACTGTTCAACAAAATAATCATAACAAGACTAGAAAATCTTCAAAACAGAATGAGAGAAAAACGCATATATATATATATATATATATATATATATATATAGTTAATATTATATTGGTCTAGACACTTTTGAAGATAACACGGATATATTTATACATTTGTATATTCGTCATTATTATAATTATTATTGTTGTTTGCATTCTTAGTGTGGTTACAATCACAGCATGACAAGTTATAAATTATTTGCTTTACTATTGGATTGTATGATTGTTTTCTTTCCAAATTTCTATTTACTGTATAAAAGAGAAATATTTAAAGAACAAAAAAATTAAAACAAAACGACAGATGAAACAGGTAGATAAATTCAAATGTAGATATTGAAGTTAAAACAACAACAACAACAACGACGACAACAACAACAACAACTAGTTGACTTGGAAGAAACAATAAAATCAAATGTATGCTGTTAATTTGCCAAGAAAAGAAACAATAGATGTATTCTATGCTTGTATTAATTATAAAACAGATTAAAGATAATAGAGTTTGATTATTCACTATTATATATATCTTGGTATGAAGAAAGTTGATAATAATAATAATAATATTCTTGAAAAGACAAATGACAAAAGCTCTAGTTATAGAACGATCAGGAATTATTGGGGGAAAAAATCAGTACAATATGGTATAAAAGTACAAAGATTTATAGATACAAAATTTAAGCGTTCATTGTGAATACACACTGTTAAAGAGTACCATATTAGAATGAAACATCTATTCACTATGTTTCTTCTGGTTTTCATCAGAATAATCAGTAGTGTAAATTATAAAAATTTAGCAATATAGTTTGTTAAAAGCAATATGATGAAAAAAGTTTATTCACTGATTCCATTGTAGATGATGATGATGATGATGATGATGATGATGATGATGATGATGATGATGATGATGATGATGATGATGATGATGATGATGATGATGATGATGATGATGATGATGATGATGATGATGATGATGATGATGATGATGATGATGATGATGATGATGATGATGATGATGATGATGATGATGATGATGATGATGATGATGATGATGATGATGA